CTAGAAAGGTGCAATGTATGCACGTGTCTCAAGCTCGAGTCTAAATTAGTCACGTAGGACACAATTAGAACTACAACTTACCTGTTCAGCCTACGAAATAATTGCGGTAGGTAAATTATTATGATGATTCTCTTGGCAAACAGCATTACATAGATAAATTAATTACCAATGGGGAAATAAGTCCCAATCGATTTGCAACCTCGATGGCCTCCGTAATTTGTTGAGCCGACCACTCGGAAGTCCCCCAATAGAATGATTTACCTTGATCAATCACAAAGTTAAAGGCGCGTACTATTTCATCCATAGGCTACATCAGACGGAGATATGAAATGCAAAATCAGGTATCCGGAATACTTGATACGGTTGGTAAGGATAAAAAAAAAATTACTACTTACAGTGTCGGGATCCGGTCTATGAGCGTACACTATGTCGACGTATTCCAATCCTAATCTTTTCAACGACGCATTTAAGCCTTCGATTATATGCTTCCTCGATAAACCTCGATCATTCGGTCCCTTGCCACCCCAGAATATTTTTGTCGATATCACAAAGTCCGAACGTTTCCATCCCAATTTCTTGATAGCATTTCCCATATCGATCTCGGATTTTCCGCCCGCATAGACCTCCGCAGTGTCAAAATAGTTGATTCCATTGTCAAAAGCTATCTGCATGCACCTTAATGTCACCTCTTGAAATTGTTTTTTTACGCAACAAGCATTAGAGATTTAATCAAGGTTGTTGTTTGGTATAGCTTCGTTATACCTCACCAGGAGGAACTTGTCCACCAAAAGTAACCCAGCCTCCAAGAGAAAGAACGGATACTTTGAGTCCACTGCGACCCAAATATCGGTACTCCATCCTTTCTATTATCTTTGGCGACGCGTTCGGTTCCATCTCCATTCCCCTGGTTGTTAAGCAATCCAGCTTGACGTGGTTCAAAAGATATACGTATATGATTTACGATTCCTTGAGTTCAAATACCAGCTTTCGGTTGTTGAAAAAAAAAATGACAAACCGAATTCTTTTTTTTCAATCGTTTTGTCGGCCTCTCCATTGTTTAAAAGTAATAAAGTAATTACTTTCTGAGAATGAATCAAACTTTTTAGAAGTGATTGTCTGTCACGTGCTAAAATTCTGTCCTAACGTCGGTCATAACTGCCATACTGAGACGGATTTGATTACGCAATAGATTGCATGCATCTAGCCTCTAACGCTAATTAGTAAATTTTTTAATTGTTAATATTTTACCCGGGTTTTGCCTCAATGAAAGTTTCGTTACACTTTATGATAAAAAAAGTTTACGCGAAAATTGTTTGCTTAAAATCAACGATACACTGTGGTACAAAAAGTGATGAAATATTTTTTTTTTGTTATTTCGGATAAAAAAAAAATAATAATGCATAAAGATGATAGCAAAAAATGCAAAAGGGATCCAGATTATCAAAAATAATTGATCTTTATCCAATCAAATTCGTTTGTGGGAACAATATTTGTATTCAAAAAAATCAATATACAGTATTTCTTTTAATTTTATAATCAAGAAGGCTTGAAAATGTTCTTTATTAATGTTGAAACGAGCATTGACAAGTAAAATAATTTTAATAATGATTCGTTATAATTGATTGTTCGATTAAAATTACTTGCAAGATTAATAGTTATATTAAAAAAAAAAGATTAAATAGAAATCTGAATTTCTATATCTGTTAAAAGAAATTTATAATTGGTCTATTATAAAAATTCATTATTATTTTTTTAAGAAAAAATCATCTTTTTATGCAATTGCTTTCAAAGATTTGAGTCTACTTACTATGTTTTTATTATAAATTTTAATTTTATCAATTTTTAAATCCTTAATTATACAATCAAAAATTATAAAATTCATATATATTATATCTTAATACTTGTTTTATTTATTATATTTTTTT